AATTATTTGTTCAGTTAACACTTAAAATTTGTAGTCAATGATTTAAATAAATTTAATTAATGATTGGTACACTATATTATTTTCAGTCAAATTACGCCCTGCTACCTTAACTATGCTCATTATCAACCAGGAAATTTCTTTGGATAGACATGTTCTTGGAATTTCAAAAAGGTCGTTGATATGTCCACGAGGAAAAACAAATTAAGGTAGCCGTATATCACCAAATAAAAGAGTCTACGCATAAAAGTAACACATACAGACAAATAATATAAAATTATTTATTTCATCTTTAGCCAATCATTTTATATATATATATATAAAAGAGATAGCGTAGTTTTATTAATTTGTTCAATACAATTTTATTTTGTGATAAATTTTTAAATAGAGCCGATCGATCAAGAATCAAATCAAGTATATAAAACACATTTTAATATTTACATAAATCATAAGATAAAAATATTTTTCTTGCATCTATTAATTTTTTTTTAGATTTAATTAAATGAAATAGTTAAATATATTTTTATCTTAATATTAAAAAAAATATCATCTTAAATTTTTTTTTAATCAAATTATATTTTTTCAAGTTATATTGGTTGTTTTTAAACTCGTAAAGTCAACAAAGTTATATCGAATCAATCCTTATATAATTTAGATTTTTGTTATTAAAAAAAATAATAATATATAAATATCTTTTTATATTTATAAAAAAATTAATTTAATTTGCAGTGTAACGCCATTTTAATCATCTGGTATTGTTTCTATTTTATTTGAGACACATCACAACATAGCTATATAACTTTTAAATAGATCGTTCGATGATTCCTAACTTTCAAATGTTTATTTTTAAAATCATTTGAATAAAAAACTCAATCTTGATTAACATATAAACTAATTAAAAAAATACATTCTAATAAGGAATAAAAATAAAAGAAAAAGAAAAGGAAGCGCTACAAATGATTTACTGAGACCAATTTACCACTTCAATTCAATTTACTACAAATAAACCAAACAACTAAGAAAAATGCAATCCAATTTACCACTTAAATTCAATTTACTGAGGCAGGGAATGTTTTTGCTGCTAAAAAAAATGCAGTAGAAGTTTCAAAAAGCCTTGACTATTTTTTTTGGACCCTCCATTAATCAGCCTCAAAAATAAATAAATTACGTTTGAACTAGAAAGGGTTTTTTTATCTAAATTAAAAATCAATCAGGTCTAACTAAATAATCGAAATGGGATTTGAGCCTCTAAATCCCTTCATGATTTTGAAATTAGATAAACAAGATCGAGGCTTCTGCTTATTCTTTTTAAGAGGAAAAATACTAAAAATATGAATTAACTTACTTTTACATTATATATCTTATTAAACGACAAAGCTATTGAATGCCCTTGAGGTCTTCGTTTTAAATATTATTTAAATACATTTATTTAATATTAGATTGTGTTAAGGAAATAAAAATTAAATATTTGAATGAAAATAAATGAAATCAGTTAGGCAATTGTAATTTTATATGACAATATTTCTATGCATTTACAACAAAATCTATAACAAAAATGTAAAGAGGAAATTGAAACAATCGGCGGCCAGTCCAATCCGAAAATAAGTTTTAATTTGGGATGGATGTGAGCAACATGTAAAAGCAGAATTTATGGAGAGGATCAAGAGCTTCCAGCTACACTAAAAAACAAAAATGGTGGCTCTAAGACATCTTTGTCACTACGAAGGATCAAAGAAACAACAAACACTACCTTGAAAGTTTTAATAAAATAGCAATCCAATTGCAGTAATGACTCAAAGCATTCCCATCTTTTATTTTACCTAACTTTCAATTTTGATCCTCTTATTTTTAATTCTCTGTAAACAATCAAAATGAATTCTTCTTTGTAAAATTAAAAACAAATTCAATGCCATGATATTTTAAATGACTATGAAAACTCGAAAGAAAGGAGCATGAAATATATTATGAAGATTAATTCTAAATTAATTAAACGTGTAAAGATCAAATTAAAAAAATAATTGAAAAAAATTAATGAGAAAAAAAATAAAAGAAATATTTTACGAATTCACAACAAATCCACTCATAAGCCATAGTGATTCACGAATGAATTTAGTTTTTTGTATAATTTTGTAGTTGTTTATAAAATTTCTTAGATATATAATTATAATTTTATAGTTATTTATAACCAAAAAGAAGGGTTACTGATGAGTTAATATCTTTGCAGCAGTAAATCAAGTAAGTTAAATAGTATTACATAATAATGTTTTTAATTTATTTTTCTTTGTTTATGCATCCCACATTGTATATAACTTCTTCGATGAGCAAACCAATGAAATATAATATAGAGCCTCTTGTAGGTTTGGTGCTTGTGGAGCAGGCCCAACTTGTGATTGAAATGACCACTGTTCAATAAATAAGGTGAAATGGCTATCAAATTGATGTATTTCTCTTTCAACCTTAGAATTGATTTTTCTTGTGTGTTTTTAAATTTTTATTTTATTTTATTTTATATTTTTAAATTTTTTTGATATGGTAATGTTAAAGATAAATTTTAAAAAATAAAAAAAATAATATTTTAATATATTTTTAAATAAAAAATATTTTAAAAAATTATCACTATTATAATACACATGATAGTTTAGATGAATTTTAATTATAATTTTAAAATTTAATTCGGTTTATCAGAGTGATTAAAGCTAAAATAAAACTTGATAAAACTCATGAATCGGATGAATCGGATCAAGTTAGGTTTAAAAACTCTAGTTTTAATAATTTAAAATTCAAAACAGCAGCTTCAAGAAGTTTATCTAGAATAAAAATTAGGTCCTTCGTTTGATAAACCTATTTCTTGGTTATTTCTACCATGTAATTTCTCGTTTGTCCTTTTTATTTTTCCTTTCTCCCTGTTCCTTAGAGTAAAATGTATTAAAAAAGTAAAACAAAGATTTTGTTCAGAGAATGTTAGAAGCATAATCTTTCTTGGTTAATCCATTGATCAACTCTGAAAAAATGAAGGCAAAGTACCTGTGGCAAGGTATAATATTTACAATAATCTCATCAATAGCGTTAAATGGATTAACCGAAGTTGATTCGAGTTATTTTTTATATTTTTTTATTAATTTTTTTTAAATTAGTTATTTAACATTGTGTCGGTCGAGAATGAGTTTCATAATTTTTTTTTATAAAATTATCTTGATTTCATAATTAGAATTATGAGTTTGACAGCTTAATTTAGATTAAATCAAATTATATATATATTTTTTTTATGTTATTTCAGTCTTGTAATCTAGGTCACATGTTTAATGGAATGTTTCTAGTTATTTTTTTAATGTTTTTTAAGTGATTTTATTTTTAAATTTATTTTTATATTAGCACATCAAAATTATATTAAAAAAAATTATTTTAAAAAATAAGCAGCCTTGTAAAGGGCATAATTTTATTTGTTTTTATCTCAATCCAACTCAAATTTTATTAGAAGAATTTAAAAGCTTTATTTTCTATAAAATTAGAATTTTTAGTAATTTAAAACCAGTAAGACTTTCAAATAAAAACACAAAAAATCTGTCACACGCAATATTTTATTAGTTGATTTACAAGTTTTTTTCCTATTTAGTTTAAAATTCTATTATTATTATTTTGCTTAGGATTTTTTAATATATAAACACTATAATATTATATATCAATTAGAGAATTTTAATATGGTGATTGTACTCGTATTACTTGTTTTTCTGCCGCTTAAAAAAAATGCAGTAGAGGTTTCAAAAGCATTAATTATTTTTTCGGAGTACCCCATTAAAAATAATTAAATTGGGTTTGAACTCGAGAGGGCTTTTTGTCTAAATTAAAAATCAATCAAGTTCTAGACTGCCTCGCCGCTGATTTATCTTATCTAACCAAATAATCGAAATGGGATTTCCTGAGGAATTCGTTTTAAATATTTATTTAAATACATTTATTTATTATTAGAGACCGCGTCACCAATACCGTGCTGTTTCCTAAACTTCAGGAAGCAATATGTAAAAGCGGAATTTATGGAGAGGATCTAGAGCTTCCTCTCCA